TGAGGATCTGGACCTCTGTGCTTCAGGAACATAGGACTAGAAGGGACTTTCTGGGTCAGTGAGTCCAGCATTCTTTTGTCACAGGCATCTTTTCATATAATCTTTTTCATAATTATATATAAATTCTATCTGTAAGAGGGGGATAATAATACTTCCCTAATATTTCCACTAAGATAAGAATGTTAATGGGTGTTCTAATGCTATGGTAACAGGAAATAAGTATATAGACATAGTTTGATACTTATATTCATTATTTTATTTATGATGGGAGTATCATACTCCACAAATATTCAGTTGACTTCTCCAGAACTATTCATGGAGTAAGACACTATTCAACATGAATAAGAGTATCAGGATTATGGTTGTTGTAGTGATGGTTACAGGATTATGTTGTTCTAGCGGTGTTGAGTACACCTTGAGATTCTCTAAAGCAGACAGACGCTGAGGAGAATGATAGCTTCTGCAAAAGAGAGAGACAGAACTGGAGCAAAGACAACAAACAGAGAAGAACTGCATTAGGAAAACTTCAAATGCATGCCATGCCTATGGGCATGCTGTCTCAAGACTAAATAGAGATAGGAAATCAGAGAAGCAGTAAGAAGAATGGGTAGAGGAGGCTTTTCCTTATCAAGAGCCTTCCTCCCTTCTACAGACGTTTTTCTGCAACTTTATTAACTGCTATTTATGATGACCAGCTTTTGACAAACATTACCATTGAATCTGTCTCCTTGTTCAATGAATTTCTTAGCAAGTCCATGAGGAATAGCCTTGCTTGCATTTATTGTACTGTTCTTTCCTTCACACAAATCATTTGCCATTGATTTAAACAGAGAAAAGAAGTGAGATTTGTTCTTGGTGAACATGACAGAAACCTTTAAAAATGAAATGCCCCTAGTCAGTCTGGAATCTAGAATCTCTGGGCCAGAAAGGGTAAATATGAGGGTGACTGGTAAGCAATACTTCAGTCATGACATGACTGCCTCTTCTGGCAATTACAGAATATAAACAACTGTTCTTTCTTCTTCTAAACAAATTGTTCTTTGTTATTTGCCCGAAGTAGCCAGAGTATCCTTGCATTTAGCTTTAATTTTTTTCCCCCTCTCACTGGTGTCTCAACTTCTTCCTTTTTTTCCTGTTATTTCCCCCCTCCCCCAAGGCATTTGCTGGATTTTTTTCTTATGGGTTGGCTCATTTGTCTCTGTAGCTCTTCCATTCAATAGTGTGCTACTGCTGCCTGTCGCAAAGCCCTTCAACTAGCAGAACCAATTAACCTTTCTCTTCTTCTGCTATAAAAGACCCCTTCTCTGTTTTTACAGGAAGGTTAGCCAAAATAGATATTAGTTGCTATAAATATATCTCTCAGAAAATTATAAACAGATGCCAGTTACTAGATTTCTTTTCCCAGGTACTGGGAAATCATACTTAACATAAAGCTATAATATTCAACCCTTTCTTTGTTTTTCACTTTTGTGTTATTAATCTATACTAACATCAACCCTTCTACTAAAACTCAAAGACATGGCAGTAGTATATCTCTAGTCAAGGGAAGCAACTAGATCACAACACTCACACGTTCAATCACTGCATTACTGACAGACCTAAGATCCTAGGGAGCTTGCACACAATGTGTATTGTTTAGATATATATTATGAAACATCAGGCTAGTGCAGAAAGCTGGGGTTTTCCATTTGCAGAGATGTGCACCTGGAGATATCTAAATCATAAAAGCCAGGGTTTCCCATTTGCGGAGATATGCCCTGAGATTCTTGAGCTTCTTCAGGGCATGTTTCTGCATGCGAAAAAGCTGGGGTTTCCCCTCTTACAGAAATGCAAGCAAGGAAACCCCAACTTTCCTGCTAACAGAGACACATCCCTGGAGACCCCCAGTGCCTGTCTCTGTAAGAGGGGAAATTTGGGCTGGCACTCCCACAGCCTGGGGGACTTGATTCTGCGTGGCAATTCTCACGGCATGTAGAACTGGGCCTCTCAAGCCTAGGGAGAATACATCACCTCAAGATCAATAGGTGGGACAATGGGCAATGTGTGTTTCATGCCCAATGAAGCAAATCAGCTATGCCAGGAGACAACCTGGCATAGATGATCCACTTAATTTGGCAAAATCTATTTCTAGCTTTGGGATATTTTATGCTGAGGGGTCAGGACAACGTATGTTCATGCTCTAACTACCATTTAAGCCAAGCCTTGATAAACCATAAGATTTTCTCCAAATACACTATTTTTGATAGAGCTGGTGAACAATTACCAATAAATGTTCTATTCACCCGAAACACACCAAAAAAGCTGTGATATACAGCCAAGCCCTCAGATACCACCGCATCTGTACTGAAGAGAACACCTGGGATTGCCACCTCACCAATCTTAAAAAGGCTTTCACCCAGCAAGGACACTCCTCTAGAGAGGTAGATCGCACGTTTGAAAGAGCCACCTGGATACCACGTGAAGAACTGCTGCAGTACAGAAGAAAAACACCCACAAATCACACACTGCTGGTTATGACCTATCACCCATCCCTTGAACCTGTACGGAAAATCCTCAAAAAATTGCAACCCATATTAGAAAAAGACACTATTCTTAAAAAGATCTTCCCAGAGCCACCCATCCTAGCCTTCAGACAAGCACCGAACCTCGCCAACCTCATCACCAGAAGCAAACTTCCTCAAGCCCAGAACACACCAAAAGGATCCAGACCATGCCAGGACAAGAAATGCAAAACCTGCCCCCACATCTCCACCACCCCTACTATTACTACACCCCACAACAGAGCCATCAGCATCCCAGGATCTTACAGCTGCACCTCCAGGAATGTAGTATACCTCATCCAATGCACCAAATGCCCTGATGGAAGATATGTAGGAGAGACCAGACAACAACTGCGCACCAGAATGAATGCACACCGGAAATCCATCAAAGACAGAAACACCCAATTACCGGTGGGGGCACATTTCTCACAGGAGGGCCACTCTCTCTCCAATCTCTCAGTCCTGATCCTCAAGGGAAATTTATACAACACATCCCAGAGACGAGCCTATGAGCTCCATTTCATCAACCTACTGGATACTAGAGATCAGGGACTAAACATAGACATTGGATTTTTGATACATTATAATCTGCCTGGCAACTGACTCCCCAGCCCAGCCCCTGGCTTCTTTACTTTTCATCCCATCCAGGAAGAGCACACACCAACTGCTGCAGCTTCCTTAGCCTGACAAAGGGTTTTTGAACCCCAAAGCTTGCTTAATAACTATTCTCCAACCATTTGGGTTGGTCTAATAAAAGATATCAAATTCACCCAAGGAACCTTGTCTGCCTATTTTGTAAATATAGTTCAAAGTGCTATAATCAATTTTCAAGTTTAGAAAAATAAGATATTTTAGAACTTTTTTCTTTTTTTTAACATTTGAACAATTATGCAACTGATCAAATTTGGGGGAAATTTTGAAACTCAAAATATTTGTGATGGGAAATTTGGAAAATGTTTGCTCTATTGGTTTAACCAATATATGTAGTGGCCAGTTTGGCTTTTGGATTATCAGCAAACTAGTGGTGATTTCCATGGACTAGAGCCTTCTACAAATACTCATCAAGTCTTATACTGACATGGTCAAGATGTGATTGCTCATTTATGTCATGTGGAATTGTGTCTCTTCCCTGACCGGAGATGACATGCTTTGTAAAAAAATTAAAAAGGGGGAGTTAATTAAAAAATAATTGAAGCTTTGATCCTGTCACAAAAAGGCTGGCTTTAGAGAACGTGGAAGATTATTATATTTGCTTAGGTGTATGGATCCCAGATTTTAAAATAGCTATGATCTTTCCTTATTACAGGAGAGAAGAATATATAACCTTGGTATATTAGTCATATATTAGAATTTACTTTTATAGTTTTTATCAGATTTATTATCAGATAACTTCATGTGTGTATATATGTTCCTACCTGCAGAATTTGTAACCGGATACTAACCTTGGTCATTTAATTTTCTGTATGTCAGGGTTCCAGGTTGACAGTCTGAAGACACACTGTATTTCCCCAGTTCATATACCACAGTATTTCATATTTCTACCACCTGCAGGTATAAAATCTCCTGCAATCCATGTTATGCACTAATCACCAAGAACTTACTATAATAAAATGAATCGCCTTTGGATGCCCAGTGTTTTCTGCAGGGGAAGGAGTTATATGTCCCTATCTGTTTAATATTAGTATCATTTCATTGGCCTGGAGTTTTAGGGACACTAATTTACTTGATCAAAGAAAGATGGGATTTTTTTTAATACCATGAAAGTACCAGAGTAAGTGCAACTGACACTGGGAGAGCAATGCCACAAGCACATTTACAGTTCTCTGTAGGAAGCACAGCATAGACATGACCCAATAGAGTTCTCCTTACAGTGCTGAGAAAAGCCAAAATATGTCCCTGCACACCCTGAGGACCCATTACTAATTGCTGTCTTTGTAAAGATGCTGGCACTTGACCTGCCGTCCATCTCCCATGTGGACAAGCTCTTGAGAGCAAATAGCTTACACAGTTTCACAATGACAGGTATAGTAACTTCACTTGTTTTGTGACAGTAGGTCTTTCTAGGCTGTGAGAGTTAAGGGTACACCTGATCACAGACGCAAGAATCAGCCTTGGTGTATTCCAGCTTGTGGTATATCCATACTACTCCCTGGGCATGTCTACACAAGACACTACATCACTGTAGCGACGAGCCACAGCGATATAGCTCATCATTATGGCGACATAGCATTGGCAGGCACGAACCATGACACTGATGCTACTGCACAGTAGCTGCGTGTAGCAGGGCACTAAAGTGCCTGCTACTTGCAGAGCCGAAATAACCCCTCAGGTGCCAGTTACTGAGGCAACTAGGGGGAACTAATGACTCACACCTGCCTAGACAGCTGACAAGAAGAGGCAGGGCCTGGCTCCTATATAAATCACAGGCGAGGCCAGGAGGCAGTTCCCTACTAGCAGCCAAGGAAGAAAGAGCTCTCAGTCATGAAAGGAAAGCCAAGCCCAATACAAGAGCAATGTCTGACACTGCTGTGGGAGGAAGAAACCCCGGTAGGCTTGAGCATGATTATAGCGGGGTGGCTTCTGTTTGTGTTATAGCCCAGGGGCTTGTGTTTGTGTTGCTGTTTGTTACTGGTGGTTTGGGTGAGGCTATTAGGGGTTGGAGGAGGCCTCATAGGGGCCCACAGCAGTGTGGGAACCCCAGTGCCAGCAAGGGCGCAGCATTCGGGGTGCACAGACTCTAGCCCCAGAGAGGGGCAGTTGAGAAGCCCCAGTGCAGGCGGCATTACTGAGAAGGCCCTGGAGAGAGGGCGGCGTTACTGAGAAGGCCCTGGAGAGAGGGCAGAGAGCCCGAGTGCCAGAAAGGGCACAGGGAGAGGGAGACTAGGCTGCAGAGAGCCCGAGCGCCAGAGGGGACGTGGAGAGAGAGAGAGACCAAACAATGTCAGGCACATCTGCAAGGCTTGGGGGCGTGGTACAGGGATGATTGGAGCCACACATAGCCCATAAGGCTGGAGTGTACAGAACACGGACTACCGTAGAGGAACTAGAGGTAACAGGACAACCATGGACCAGAAGACGAGAGGCAGCCTCCCTATAAAATATATATATACAAAACCAAAGTCGTGGTGGGCGAGAATTGGAGGGTGCTAATCGGCACCTTGACACGGTAAAGGAGGTGGCAGGGGAGAGCACGGCGACACTGACCACCCTCCTGTTACACTGCGAGCTACTGCTCAGTAGCATCGGAAACAAACCAAGCAGAGCCGGGACCATGCAGTAACAGCTTAAGCAAGTACTAAATGACTGCACAGTAACAACTGCAGTCTGGTGCTCATGTAGACGCACCCCCTGTCATGCTACTCTGTTCAACCTGTGTTTTGGGACACCGGCTGTTGGCCTCCAGTTGGCAATGAAAGAAGCTCCTGGTCCCCTCCTTTCTCTTTCCCTTTCCACCTTCCCCTTGGAAAACAGTTTAATGTGCATTTCTTTGCTATGTCAATCCTTTAAGTCACTTCTGCAAACTGGTTAACTGTGAGGGAGGGGGCCTGTTACAAATTGGGGGGAAAAAGTTTATTAAATTCACACAGTGGGAGAAAATCCTCAAAAAGGTTTTAGAGTGTAAATCATAATCTGTTACTTTTGGTATGGCATGCAACAAAAGCTCAGGTGTCACATTTCTAGGAGGTAGAAGTATGTAATGTGGGATCACTGACTATCTGCAGTGCATAATGAGTTGGAACTAGTAGTAGCTTAAGTGAGCAAGGCATGCATGCTGTGCCTGTGTGAAATTGAGAAGTTGCACACCTCCAGCAATATATTGGATAAATCTATGGTGTTGTTGAAATGTGGTTGACAACATCCTCTCTCTGCATTAGGTTCATGACCTCAGACAGTAGGCAAAATGTGATACAGGCAGTATAATATTGCTGTTTCCAATGTGTATTCTGCTTTGTTCTTTGCCTCAGCTTATTGATCAAAGGGTTTCTCATCTGTGATTCAAGTGCAGTTGATCTTTCTGGCCCAATTCAAAAGATTGGTACACAAGAAGATGCCTCATGTTCTTTGAAAGATACAGTAGGCAGCTCATGAACTTTCAGAACAGAAGCCATTGATCAGGAATAGTCCATAAAAGATTTTGAGAGAGAGAAAAAAAAAGATATAGCTTTTCTAAATTATATTCCCATTTTCCTAAAATTTGAAATGTTATCATCTTAAAAATGTTTTAATCAGATCTATAACAGGTAAAGAAACAGAAAAAAGTCACAAAATGTTGTTGCAACCCCTCATCTTACCTATTTGTTTTAATTTCAGTTACATTTAATTGAAATTCTAAACATTTCTATCGTCTTTACTGATGGTACAGGGGAATTTCAATTCTACTTGGTGGCCTATCTCTGTGACTGATTGCTGCCCTCCAGAAAAGTAGAAGAAATATGCCTGCCAGAAACACATCAGGCTACGTAATGACAGGCCAGCCACTAGTAAAGATTGACTGAAATCTTGGCCCCACTAAAGTTTTTGGCAAAATTCCCAAAGACTCCCATGGGGCCAGGATTTTACTCTGTACAACACTGAATGATAATGTTCAATATGGAACAATAATCTTCAGCAGAGGGATACAGATCATTCTATTTATCAGTCTAATAGAAAAAAAATAAAATGTGTTCTAGGCAGCAGGACAAAAAATGCAGATGTTGCACTGAAACGTTGGGCTTGCTGACAGATAAGCATCACCTCAGATAAAGGCATGAACAACAGCATAGATTTATAATATATGCCACTTAAAATTATCATGATTTCTTCCACCTGCCTGAGAAAGAGACAGACATAAGAAAACTAGTTGGCACTTTTGTTTATGTTCATTCAGCAGGGCCTGAATCCAAAGATCAGGTAGAGTTATGCTATTAAAAGTAGCACAGGAATAGCATAAGCAGCACCCTAATCTTCTCACTTGCAAATATTTCTCTGCTGCGTTCATCTGACATCTATTGTATTAATTCTTTATACTCTCATCAGCAAGGATTTACTAGCACAGTACCAGAACAGATTAGGAATAAATCAAAAGGAGAAGTTAACTGCTCTTTGGATCTCTGATTTGTCATCTCTAATTTTTACATATGACGCCGTTATTGACTGCTGAATCACAAATCCTTCTTAAAAATAAACAAAACCAAACAACTCAGCTTTCAGGCTTATATTTGCTTTTGATACTCTCAGAGAAAATCTCCTAGTAATTTACTGGATGGAAGTGAAAAAAAAAAAGAAAAAGAAAACTTTTATGATACCTTTACTGCAGTTTCCAAAAACAAGTTGCCTGTTTTGTGCCTATCTAAAACACAGTTTCCAATTTGTCTGATTCTTACTGTAGTTTAATGGTGAATGCATAACATCTACCTTCTTTTTCCTTCCACTGCATGCCATAGAAGTAGAACTACTTTAAAATATGTTTTTACAACTGTTTAATGCTTCAAGTGTGTTTTATGTTTCTCAGCTCCTCGTGCTGGAAATGCTCCTCCTACTGGTTCTTAGTATATTGCAGAGCAGTATTTATACAACAAGGTGGGTACCACATGTGCTTTACTGTGAAGCTGACAAATTAGCTCTGCAATAATGCATCACCTTCTATATATGCACGGTATTAAGGTGCAGTAAACTAATTAACTCCACCATAAGATAGTACTGTCCTTGACAATACTAGCTTATGGCAGAGTAAGTAATTGCATTGAAACATGTGTGTAGACAGTGACAGGCTGGCTGGGGCACAAGGGTGCTAAAGCATGGGGGATACCTGCCACGTAGACAAATGGCTCCACAGGTTCTGCACCCGCATGCCCCAGCCAGCCCCTCCACTGCCTGATGCTGCCACACAGAGCCCGAAGCTGACTCCCCCATGCCTCCTGCCAACCCGGAGCTCCCCTGCTCCAGGTTCAAAGCGCTGCTGTCCCAGGCGCAGTTGTAGACACTGCTCCCAGGAACAGTTTACTCCGGCTCAGAGTGCTCTGGAGTTTATCACATCACATTAACTGCAAGTGTAGATGCACCCTGTGAGTCTGAAATCTCATCTGCCTTAAATCTTCTGTAGTTCCTTATACCTTTGCAAAACAATTAAAGAATGATACTGTTCTATCTAGTGTTGTCTTACAACACCACTTTGCACAGATTTAAATGAGTTAAACAAGGCTTAAAGCCATGGAGATGCAGGGCCTATGTAGGTTGTTGCTACTGCTTGCCTTTATATTTTGAACCAAAAATGCAGGGACCTATTAAAAAACATGAAACTTGGAACATGAACCTTTCTGGTGTCATTTAAGGTCTTGTGCATCCATGTACTTCCTCAGGAAGCTAGCAGCCTGTCTGAACGGGATCTGCATTTTCTCATAGCAAAATTTGGAAGCAGAATTACACCTCAGTCTCACACTTCACAATTTTTAGTAGCTAAACCTTCTTCACCATCAGAGTTAAGAAGGCCAAGACTAGAAAAGCAAAGAAAACAAAACAAACAGAAACAAAAAACCAAACCTTCTCAATGTCATGGCTGTCTTTTGGTGACCCCAAAGGAGGGATGAAGAAGTCAAATCTCAGGCTTTACCCAAAGTCTTAGAGAGGTATTGAAAGCAAAAGAGAATATACGCCAAGAGGATGGAGGAGAACAATTTAAAATCAACTGCATTAGCTGTGGCAGCAGGAAGAAATGGAGGGTATAAAATGGGAAACACAAGGAAAAAAATCAGGGGACATCTCTGAAAATTATTTTTTTTAACAAAATGAAAACATAAACCAAACTTTCAGATTCTGTGTTCACTGGTAAGGACTGATGGGAATTTCTTAGTTGCCTTATACTGTGTTGTTACACATTTTACAGAGTGACTCAGGCAAGCAAATAGTACCAATAGGAAGCTATGGCATGATAGACACTTATTAGGAGCTTGTTCTTAAAGCATCATAGCATCATTCTCTTTCTGCTTACCGTAAATTTAAAATGGGTGACTATCTCCTTTTATCACAGCAGTTCTCAGGGGCCCAACCTGCATTTTATAGGAGCCAGCATCACAATTGGACGACTTGACAGTCTTGACAGAGAAGCCACAGATTCCAACATCATATTAATCTCAAAGGAATAAATAGGCTCAGGGAGACAAAGACATTAGCAGGATGTTGTCACCATACAGTTAAACAGGGTTCCAGGTTGTTGGTACAGAGACATTTGTCAGCTTAGTCCTATGGCAATTACTGTCATTAAAAATCTTTTAAATGCCTTATGAAATATACAGGAAAAGTAGATAAGTAGTGAAAATATAAAGCATGGAATAAGGCTCTCAGTTTAACATCATTGCTCGCTCCCTTTTCCTTTAACTGTAGAGAGCTTTCAGAGGGACTCTGAAACAAACCGTCTCCAAAGCAAGAGTTCTAGAGTTTTGCATTTCTTTTTGTATCAGACCAACACAGCTACCAAATACATCCTTGAAACATTCAGAGGGACTCTTCACTCACCTTTGACAGGATTTTAGACGGTGTTAAAGATAGCATCAACTGTGTTCTTTGAAGAAACACTAAGGGCCCTGTTACGTATTAATTTTAGGCAGCTCCTGGAGGTCTTTACCCCTGGATTGTCCATATGTTAACATCTGATACTAGTTTTAAGTACACTTCAGGTAGCTTAAAGTTATACCTCTCCAGGGCAGGCTTGGCTATGATCTGTTACCCAGCTCATGTTGCATTAATGTGTGGCTACTCCCCACAAATGACCTGCCCAAGTTGCAGTTCTGTGTGGACAAGCTTTTCACCCCATGAACTCTACTGTCCACGGGGTAGTTCTAGCACCAAACTAGCTCACCTTTCAGAACCTGTTCTCCTTGCTTCACTGTCAAACAATGTTTCTTCCTGGCTGCCAATTAAAATAAGGACCATTAACGGGATGATGGGTGGAAGAGCCCAACCCTAAGCCCCCTCCCCACCCCCCCACATTTAGCTTTAATTAACAACACACTGGTTTTGCTGCATTAATGTCCAGTCTACAGCTCTTCTTGTTTACCAGGCATGATCCCAAATACTCCTTAAGTTATATTTGTAGACTCTCTTATTTGGACAAATTCAGTTTTCCTGTCCTTTTTTTTCTGACTTTAATAAATGAGTTTATTTGACAGGCTGAGCTGGGTTTTATTTACCTTAGATGACGCTGAATGGGTATGTAAGCAGAACTGTCATCTAATCCTCTAGGTCAGGACCAAGGTACATGAATAGAGCCATACACTAAAATTTACACTTCTGCAGTTTGTGCTATACCTATTTGGTAGATTAACAGAACTTCACTCTCCAGGTGACATTTTTTATGTATTTTTATTTGTATTATGGCAGTGCCAATAGGCCACCCATGATGGGCCCCTGTTGGGTGAGGCTTTATGTAGATAGAGAGTAAACCCAGAGCTTGCAATTCAGCCCCCTCCAATCAATTATTTTTAAAGGGCAAGTGAGCAAAACCGGGCAAAGCTGGAAATGTAAAAGTGCTTTTGGAATTAAGGAAATGCATCCCTGCTATTCTCCCAGCCCCAGAAGCTCTTCCACCTCCAGTTTCAAACGTAAAGTTAAATCCACATATAAGCAAATAAATTAAAGAAGTTTACTTGAACTTCAGCAGATGGAAATATAACCTGACTCCCTCTTGCTTTCATATATAACTCTTTCC